CTTGTTTATCTTCAAGCCTTTAAGACCCCAGACACTGTATCTTTTGATAACCGAGCACTATCAGCTTTCTTCACCACATTTTCTTATGCACCCATTTGTCTTTAGCGATCGTACTGGGGAGGTGAGCACACAATGATATGGTTTTTCAGTCTTGCATTGAGGGAGTACTTGCTGTTTTCCTTTTCCATTGCCCAGCTTTTACATGCATGTGAGGTAATTGAGAAGACCATACCTTGAGTAAAACACCCACTGCCATTGAATAATTCTAACTTACAGCAACCCCTAAAGGACAAACTATAACTGCTCCATAGGATTTACAGGGCTATAAATCTCTATGGATGCTGACTGCTTCATCCTTCTCCATGGAGTTGGCTAGTGGGTTCGAACCACCCACCCCTAGAATAGCACTTCCACTCTTATGTGCCCCCAGGGCTCTTTGCCTTGGGCCAGCTATCCATGAGTCCTTAAAGTGACAATTTTGCTTTATAAAACTTTTTAAAAGATCTGTGGCAATAGATTTCCAATACAATACATTACTTGATTTCTTTACTGCTGTTTCCATGAACATTGATTTTTTTAAAAAAAAACTTTTTATTGTGAATTAAATAAAGGTTTACAGTGGTCATCAATGTTGTTTATCCAACTAGAATGAAATCCTTGAAAATGTCAGCTTCTTCTTCATTTACTACAATGTTATTTACTGGTTCAGTTGTGAGGATTTGTGCTTTCTTGTGTTTAATCATTCTGGTATAAGCCATACAAGAGTCTCCATATTGCTGCCCACTATAGGTTACGACTTTATTTCCAACTATAATTTAAATTTTAAATCATTAATTCAAATTGTATATCTTCTGTAAGGGTGAAAAAGAGGAACAGAGGAAAGACCTGATCATGAAGGAATTCTCTTTGCATTTACAGAGACAGCTTCTATTCAACAAAATCACCTGTAAATTGAGCTCCCTGATGCAGACCAGGCTAACCAAAGAGTCCAACTCACAGCCATCCGTCAGTTCTGACTCACAGTGACCCTGTGCGTTTCCATGACTGCAACTCTTCACAGGCGGAGAAAGCCTGCCTTTCTCCGGCGGAGCTGGGTAATGGTTTTAAACTGCTGACCTTGGGGTTAACCACTAAGCCACTCTGGGGCTGTCTGGTGACCAGGTTACGGAGGGCAAATTCTGGCTAGAATGAGGTTTGAAAGCAGCAGCTGAGCAGTGAAATTCACTTGCAAGTAACAGTTAGTCTAGAGCAGAGGTTCTCAACCTGTGGGTCACGACCCCTTTGGGGGTCAAATGACCCTTTCGCAGGGGTTGCCAGATTCATAACAGTAGCAAAATGACAGTTATGAAGTAGCAACAAAAATAATTTTACGGTTGGGGGGGTCACCACAATATGAGAAACTGTATTGAAGGGTTGCGACATTAGGAAGGTTGAGAACCACTGTTCTAAAGTGATAGAATCAATTTATTTCTGAGATCCTAGGAATACTAATGTGAGAAACACCTCTATAGATAAGAAGCATAGAAAAATAGGTCTTAAAACTCCTACAGGCCATCTGTGGGGTCCCATGCTTCCCATAAATAATAGTGTACTAAACGAATGGCAGGTTGTCTATCTTCAACAGAGGTACTTGCAGGCTGTCTGCTGGCTGCACACTATTAGGAACTGTGTTTAAACACCTCCTCCTGAGGAAAGCATTAGAATTGCCCTTAGAAACTCCTGACTCCTAAATCACACTTCAGTTCCAGCAATCAGGTTTTAGAGGATGGCTGCACTTTTTTAGAGCAGTATTTCTCACACATTAATGAGCACTGAAATTACCTAGCGAGCTCATGAAGCCACAGCTTTTCCTAGGGCTACTCCCAAAGTTGATCACTCAGCAGGTCCCCAGTGGCCAGGGCTCACACTTTCCGAACCAGTGCTTTGCAAGTCCCCCAGACCAAAAATGGGCTCGCTGCCGTCGATTCCAACCCCAGAGAGGGTAGAACCGTCCATCGTGTTTCTAAGGCTTCCATCTTTTTAGGAAAGAGGAATCTCATGGAGAAGTGGTGTTTTCAAACCTCCATCCTCTCAGGTAACAGCTGAGCATTTAACTGCTACATGGACAGGGCTCTGGTTAAGTCCCTTCCCCGCCCTAATCAAGCCCACTGCCTTCACGGGGATGCAGACCATAGCAACCTATAGGGCAGAGTACAACTGCTTCACAGAATTTCCAAGTGTTTAGATAAGGGGGCGCAGGGGGTGCTGGATGGAGTCCTGGTGGTGCTCTGGAGCAAGCTTCACGCTGATAACCAAAAAGGTGGCGGTTCAAACCTACCCCACCCCCACCGCTATCTGCTTCTGTAAAGATTCACAGCCTTGGAAACCCTAAATAGGGTCACAATGAGTTAGAATGGACTGGATGGTAGTGGGTGTGGTTTTAATCTCTAAGGAAGCAGGCTATTCTATCTGTCTCTCTTGGAGAAGCTGGGGGGTTCAAACCACAAACCTTTTGGTTACATCTAAGCTCTTTACCCACTGCACCACTAAGGTTCCCTTATTAGAGTCCATCCAAACTCCAAACCAAACTCACTGACATAAAGTCAATTCCAGCTCACAGTGACCCTATAGGACAGGGTACAACTGTCCCACTAAATTTCTAAATCTAATTATTTACGGGAATAGAAAGCCTCACCTGTTTCCCATGGCGTGATTGATGCTTTCAAACTACTGACCGTGCTGTGAACTAGCCCAACACATAACCCACTCCACCACCAGGGCTCCGTTAGGGTCTACCAGATGACTGACTCTGCTGTACTGCCAGCTGTGGTCAGGGCATCCGGGGGAGGACATCCCAGGTTTGTTACCAACCTGGAGTTTCACAAATAAGCCCTGAGGTTTCCCAGGCCTAAGCTTGCTACTGATACACATAACTGAAGTGCTGCATGAATGAGGCCCAGGGTTCCTTCCAGAAACAAAATGATGCTGCTGCCCAGGAAATACACATTGGCACTAATGTGCACAGACGGTAAGGACAACATCTCTTCCTAACGCTCATGCTCTCCTGTGTACATGCATGCAGGAACATCCCTTTGAGTGAACACTGCCACTCATAGCCCTCCTCAGACTCACCTGTCAGAACCTGGCAGGGCTGCCCAGAGACCTGTGCCTCTGCAGAAGGTCTGGGTGCTGGGGACCATGTGCGCCTGGCCAGATGCTCTCGTCCATGGAAGGGGCCCCGGGAATCATTAAGCGGCTGGATTAGCACCTGTTCTTGCCCAAACTGAATGAGGCCAACCTGACAGAAAGGAGAAGACAGCAGGACATCAGTCATCCTCACTCACTCACACATGCCCACAGTCCTAGCAGCCCGAGGACCAGGCCACCTCAAGGGTCTGGTTTTCCAGTCTTAACTTATTCGTGGCCGGTTACTGTTCTGCCTGAGCTTCTATGCGACCTGGCAACATCCCACTGAACAGTTCTGGTGGGCAGGGGTCCCTAAAGGAGTGGGGATGGGGGTAGAATTCACTTTCAGCAATTTACTTTCCAAAATGTATTACTTTGTAATAATAATAAGCTCTTTGTTTAAAAAAATAAGTTTAAAATAATCCCCCTAAAGTCCACTTGTAACCTCCAAAACTTCTGACAATGACAATTATATCCTTAATGGGAAAATGTGTCTTACCCCTGAGGTATTTAGAATTAAATAATTGAGATATCATAAATTTTATAAAGCATTATGAGAACATTGAGCACTTAACACTTTCCATGTTTATAAGACTAAGTCATTACGTTTACAAGACTTACTTAAGTATTTGAGAAGGGTTGTTGTTAAAATTGTTAAAGAATAAAATTAAATCTTTTAAAGGTCAAAATGAAATTTCCAATGTGTAAAAGTCCTCAATGACCAAATTTATAAATGGGGCCAATTATTATTCAAAGTTCAACTAGAAAAACTTGCTACAGTTATCAAAAGAGTGCTGTATGATTAGAATGGAAAGCTTATGAAGATTGTTGTCATTTTAATAGAAAACCACGACACCACTGGTTTTCAAGGCTGTAACCTTTCAGAAGCCGGTCATCAGGACTTCCTTCCAAGGTACCTCTGAAGAGGTTCCAACTAACACGCTTTCATTTACTTAATTTGTTTTATTGTGAGTTGGGTGAAGGTTTACAGAGCAGATCATAGTTTTATATTCAACAATTACAACTTCCCAGACTGACCTCCTCAGCCACCTTGGCCTACACTGAGTCAAAAGATTAAGCAAATCGATCTTGGGCCCCCTCCCCTGCTATTCTTTTCAAGAACCATAGAAATTTAAGATAGTGTTCTCAAGCCCTAAGCCAACAAGCCAATTGCTGAGTTGATTATGGCTCAAAGTGACCCGGATTTCCAAAACTTGATCTTGTGGTCTGTTCTTCAACTGAGATGGATAAGGTCAGGCCTCACACCCAGGAAGGAAAGGCTGAGTCAAGCCACTGCCCAGGGGCTCCCCCAAGTCAGGACTGGGCTCTTCTCCCTCAGCCTTCCAGCCTCTTGTTCTCTAGGGTAACTCTACAGCCCAGGTTTGAACAGCATCCCATTATCATGTTACCATTACCATAAGGAATTAAATATTCTCTTAAAAAAATCACTGAGAACCCCTCCCAACCTCAGTCCAGTATAAATATTTGTCAGTACCACATCACCATTACCTGGCCTCCCCTCCCCTCACTTGCCCAGCCTCCTTTCTCTGCAGAATGAATCCCTCTTCCTGCATCCAGCCACTACCCACCTAGTACACGCTTTGATCCCTGGAGGCAGGATCTGACTTATTCCTCTTTCCACTACCTGTCAACTAATAGTTATTTAAGAGAATATTTGAAATGGAACAGAATAGATGGGAAGGAACAAATGAATGAATGGAAGAAATTGAATGGACTTTCGGGGGATAGCAAGGAGTGGGTTGGAGTAGAATGGACTCCTCACAGTCCCCGTTGCTGAGAAGTTTTTATCGTTGGCTGCACAACTCCTGATGTCTGGGCTACATTCCAGACCAACTGAATCAGACTCTCTAGATGGAATTCAGCCATTTGCTTTCCAGCACTTGCCATTTTTTAAAAGCTCACCAAAAAATTTCAACATGCAACCAGATGGGAAAACACGATTCAATCTTTTAATTGAGTGCCAGAGACCATTTGCAATGTCTGAGCATCCTGACTTGACACGGCCTACACAAGCCTAGTGCCTGGGCCTTACTCTGCCTTGGCTCCTAGGCCATTGCTGTCCTGTGGCCTGGAAAGCAGGGCATGGCCTGTCTGGATTTATGTTAGTCCATGTTATGCGAGTCACCAGCGATGCCTAGAAGTGACACACGGACACCATCCAAGGCTTCTTGGGCCACACTGATGGCACTGAAGTTTCACTAGGCACAAGGAGGCCTGGAAATGTCACCTACAGAACCAGTTCTTCAAATCAGTTCTAACTCATAGCAACCCTATTTGCGGCAGCACAGCATCGCTGACTGCTCTAAGGGAGACTGCCGTGCCTTTCTTCGGAAGCACCTGTGGGGGCACTTGGAGCCCAGTATGTGCTTGCTATGCAGGCCAGTCTGTGCGTAGGGGCCTTCCTGCACCTGCCTCTAATATACTGAGGCCTCAGCTAAACAGGAGGGGTCCCTCCTCTCGCATGAAGGAGCACCCTTGGCCTGACAGAGGTACGAGCCCTCTAAACACCCTGTCCTCTTCCTGCCAGGACACATGAAGAGTGCCTGCTTTCGACCTTGATCTGCCTTCCCGCAGCAGCTTCACTGTGATGAGGGGTCAGTGTGGCTCTGCCTCTTTCTGATCAGTGTATAGGCTGTCAACTTGTCCTTTAAAACCCTATCAGAATGTGCCTGGTTTCCCAGTTCCATAATCCAAGTGCCCCAGCCAACCCCACTGCTCTCCATGTCTCTGGACTGAGTTCTTAAAGTGGGATCCCCCTAAACCAATCGTTTCAGCCTGGGCCTCAGCTACGAACTTGTTAGAAATTCAAGTTCTTGTGATGAATACAAGATGAAGAAGACATCCTAAAACTGATTGTGGTGATGACTGTACAACTTTTCTGGGTGTGACTGAACTATTGAATTGTATGATATATGAATTACCTGCCAATAAAACTTTTCAGGGAAAAAAGAAATTCAAGTTTTGGGGCTCCCAACGCAGACTTGCTGCATTCAAATCTCTGGGGGTGGGTGCCAGAGATCTGTTGAACCAGACTTCCAAGAGATTCAGAGACCCAAGGTAAAGAACCACTGCTCTAAGATAAATTCCAAACATCTTTAAGTTGGTAACTGAAGTCACTCCATCAAATCCATGGATCACTGATCTCAGGAAGAACTCGCTTGGTAGCCATTACACCTCCCTCCCAGAATCTGAAACCCACTCACTTAGGCTTCAGTCTTTCTGCTCCCGGAGGCTCAGTTCCCCGCCCCTATGCCCCCAGCCCCACCCTGCAGACTAGAACACCTTCCCTCCCTCGCAGCTCCAACTGTCTCTCCAACAGAGCGGGAATCTAGCACAGTGCCCTACACGTGGCAGGTGCACGATAATGATCTGTCCACCCAGTCACCAGTGTAGACTGCTGATTTGATTTATAACTGGAAAGGTCTTGGAATGGCCTGTAGCCTGAGCAAAAGAACATGTTTTTGTTTATTTTTAATCATTTTTACTGTGAATTAGATGGGGGCTTACATTTCAGAGAGTCAACGTTGTATTCGAGAACTTACAGACTATTTATCAAACCTCACAATAGCTTCTCCTACCCCTCCCTCTTCCTCTTCGATTTGCCTTCTTCCTCTTGTTGAATACTGTCTTCCCCTTCAACCAACTTAACACTTGTCTACCCTCTAGCCTATTGCTTCATCTCCTCTCTTCGCCCTCCCACACACAGTTTAATGCCTTAACGTGCCAGGTTCGCAGACTCCATCTCGCTTCATGTGAGAGCAATGGTGGTTCATCAGTAGAGTTCTCGCCTTGCAGAAGACCTGGGTTCAAGACCCAGCCAGCATATCTCAGATACAGTCGCCCCCATCAGGAGACGTGTGTGTGGCTACAGTGCTGAACGAGTTTCAGCAGAGCTTCCAGACTGAGACAGACAGGAAAGAAAGGCTTGGTGATCTACTTCCAAAAATTAGCCAGGAAAAACTTTATACATCAGACAATAGTCTGATATGTAGCCAATCATAGGGATAGTGCGGGAGTGGGTCGCGCTTCATTACATTGTGCACTGGATCGTCACGAGTCAGGGACCAGCTTGATGGTAGCTAACAATAGCATCTTATTTCTTTGCTCACAGCCATGCAAGGCTGATGTGATGATGTAATTTCTTTTTTTCTGGCAGCACCCAGGAGGCTCGAAGGGGTGAAGAGATTCACCTAAGATCGCAGGGTCCCTGGATGGCCCTGAATGCCCTTGGAGGTTCATTTCCTAAAGAATGAGAGGCCATGGATCTGCAAGCGTGTCTGCAGAAGCAGGCAGTGGGAGGGGTTAACCAAGGACTCTGCCTCCGACAAAGTGCTATGAAAGCATTTCCCATGGCACAAAACGCAGCCAGGCAGCTGTGGCGTTTCAGAGTCAGGAAATCCCCTCTACGAACACTGAGTCTGGAAACGCTTCTTCAGTTCCTCAAATCATCTTGTGCTTCCTTTTCTCACATTGCCAACTAAAAAGATCAAAGTGGAACATTACCCCAGATGAGAGTCACTGGCCACCTCGCAGGCATGAGCATGAGCAGTAGTGCCCAAAGCATTCAATGGCTTGCAGCCTAGCAGCTCAGCCTGGCCCTGGAGGCAGGGGAGGGACTGCTTGGGAAACAGCGATCAGAAAGAGCAAAGCAGGTGGAGAGCACAGGGAGGGAGGGCGGGCATGCGATGCCACTGTAAGGCTGCATAAAGGCCCTGCCCAAGGGGGACCCAACAGCTTTAGACTTCTCTGAGCTATGTCCCTAATGCTTCTATGCCGCCAAACTTCACAACTGCTTCTGCCCTTCTTACTGTCCTGTCAGAAAGGACTGCCCCTTTACATCCATTGAACTGTTTCTTTTTCAAAAACTTTAACTATCCACTTCTCTTTTCCAGGTATGTTTACCCTGTACATCCTTAGTCCTAAGGTTGACGGTTCACACTCATTTGCTTTTGAAAGATGACAGGCTTGTTAACACTACTATGGAGCAGTTCCATCCTGCACAGATGGGCTCTCCATCCTGCACAAATGGGCTGGCCAAGAATCAGAACTGCTCCTTTGGGTTCCCGAGACTGTCGGCCATCACAGGAACAT